AAAAAAAAAAAAAAAAAAATGGGGCCTGTAGTTTTGCTGTTTGCTCAGGTTTTATTTGTTTAAATAATTGTATATATAAAAAATAACTTTGGTTTGATTTAGTTTTACAAACTGCTTATTTTCACTTTACGTTTTATTGCATTTTATTAATTTCTTTGTCTTTTTAAGGGAGAAATCTGCAATTTTTTTTTGTAGTTTATGTGTTTTAATTAGCAGCTAGAGTTTTATATGTGATATTTTCTCATTTTAACGACACAGAAATTAAGGCAGCTCCTGCATCCATCTTTACAGCCACCCAATCCCAATAGATAGAAGATGACTCCAGTCATTTCATCAAGTGAGTCCAGTCTTAACAAGAGATGGAGTCTGGTGTGCTATTGCTTGGTTGGAAAGAAAACCTGCAGCCACACGGCCCTTTCTGGAACCAGTTTGAGACCCCTGAGCTAAAACATCTAGAAAGCCCAAATATTTCTATCCCCAGTGACATTTGCCTACTCATTCTGGAGGATGTAGTCTTACAAGTGAACTCTGCATCTCTGTACAATTAGAGACCTCTAATGGGAGGCATTTCAGGATAATCCCGATCAACTGCCAAAACCACCTTAACTGACCTCTTTTGATGCAGACTAGCTGCTTCACCTTAAGCTCCCATTGGATGATAGAGTCCAGCCACACTCTGGAACTAGCTCATTCGGGCAGCTTGTGTCTTGGATCCGTTTCTCTCACTTATCATCACATCCTGTCACAATTTCCCGTAGGTGAACCGGATATTCAGCCAGACACAGAGTTACGTTTGAAGAGTTTATTGAAGGGGTGAATAATGGCAAATGAAGCAGGCAACAGTTACTGTCTTGGCAGAGGAATTCTGGTTGAAAGTGCTGGTTTGCAGAGGTGAGCAGAGAACCAGGAGATGTAGATGTTTACAGATCCAATAGGCTGTGTGGACGGAGAACCATCAGAACAGGCAAGTAAGCAGCTGAGACTCACCGAGGAACAAGTAGCACTGGAGCATGGAGACAAAGGCAACCTCAACTAGAAGAGTTCAGCTTACAGTGCACATAGGATCCAGTAGTGAAGGAAACCACCATAAGTGCAGCATTCAGACACAGGCGACCTTAACAGTGTGACGTTCTGACAGAGATGAGTAGACAGAGGCAGGTATAAGTAGGCTGGTGAACAGGTGAGCTGAGTACTAATTAGTGGGAACAGGGGGAGATAATCTAAAGTGGGGTGGTGGCTGCAGGCAGACTGAGCTGCTGTGATAACTACTGGTGGCTGAATAGTGACAGAAAAACAGAAAAAGTCCATAAGTCCAAGACCAAACTAAACAGAACCATAACTATGACACATCCCCATCAATGAGGGTTGGTTGTTTGTAGGAATTGTAAATTCAGAGCTCTGCTCTTTGGCTCAATTCTTATTTTTCCACTAGATCTGAGCTACAGTAAGCGTCCCTCACATTACTGCAGACAACCCCTACACCAACGTTACCATCACTTGTTAACATGATATCTAAACACTTTCTGTTGAGGCAGAGACCAACTCTCAAGCCTAGAGGGGGGAGTCTATCTTTTCCAGGTCAGGAACAATGACCTAAGATCAAGAAGGAAGGTCAAAGAAGCCAACAGAACATCATCAGTTGTGAGCTGCAAAGATGGCCATTTCTTGGACCTTGTGTGAAGAATGTCGGTACAGCTCTTTCTTTGGGCATAGAAGTTTTGAATAGCCTTTAAAGGGGCAACAGTGGCATCAGCTAAAAAAGTTTGCCTGCAACAGGAGGGTTGTCCGTTCAAGCCCTGGCAAGACACTTGACCTGCAATGCCTACTGATGTTGGTCAAAGGGACAGGTGGCATCAGTGTACTGTCAGCGAGCCCCAGACTAGCCAGGCTACAATATAGTTTTCTACTATCAGTGTGTGTGTGTGTGAAATGGTGAATGACGGAATGTGGTGGAAAGTGCTTTGGTAAAGTCCCCGGAAATGGAAAAAGCGCTATATAAATACAGGCCATTTACCATTTTACTATATAAATGACTCTCAGAAAAAATACCTTTAGGGAAACAGTGGCGCTGCAAGGATTAAGATCTGATCTGTTGCACCTCCCATCATGCACTCCATAACCTCAGAGTAAGCTTTTCCAGGAAGGCTGAGAAGTTTTGTTATCTGGATCACACTATCACAAAGATGTGGGACCACAACCCCTGTCTGCCACTCAGATGGTGTTAATCCTACATTCAACACTGAAGAGCGTTTTTAGATCTTACAAGCTTAAAATGTCTTCAGAAAGCAATTTGTCCCAAATAACAGAAAGTGTTATATACTGTAAAGCCTTTCTTTTTGCAAACTTGTTGGACAGCCTTTTTCTAGACATTAACTCTGCAACATTTTTTAAGACATAGCAAATTTCATTCCTCCTGTTTTTGTTTAATTGACTTGCTAACATCCATTGAGCTAAACAGAGACGCACTGCATCGTCCAATAACAGATAACTTGTGAGTTGTTTGTTTTGATTACATACATTTCCTGCTACTTATACCAGAACAGTTCATAGTGTTTAAACATGTTTTTAATAGTTATTATTCCTTTAATGATTGTATTGATTTTAATTTGATTGTGTGGATTTTAAGCTATTTTCTCCACTGATGCAATTATTTAACTAGGATGATCTACATGTGTTTGATATGCTTGACCATTAACGATTTTATACAGAAATCCAAACTTGAACTAAATCTAAAGGGTTTTATTTAATTTTAGAGAGTATTATTTGATCATAGCATGTCTCTCAGCATCATGGTGATCCTGGTGGGAATATCTTAGCTTTCCCTGAAATGTTGTTGTGCTCTTTTAATGCATATCAATTACTCAGATAATTAGTCCATCCAGATTGATTCTGGACTTCAGATGGCTGATAAATTTACTTGAAGGGCCTCTACTTGAACTTCTCCCACTCAGTCTGGTGGGACTGCATCACTCTTCCGGCCCCTGCCCGTCCTCGCTCATCATAAAAACACTTTACGTCCTACGCTCATGCATTTGTGGTGGTGGATACTCCCAGCAGATGGGCACTCTGGGAATCGTAGGAGAAATATTGTGCTTCGCCTGTTGCAGGCTGCTTTCAATTGAAGCCATGATGTGGCTGTGTGGAAAGATTGAAATCTGTCTCTTTATCTTTCTGTCGAGTGAATGTTGGAGGGAGGAGGGATGTAGCTAAAATGTCTCATGTAATAATGAAACCCATGTTGATCTGCTTCAGAGAGTTGCAGGCTGAGATTCATCGCCTGTTCGTTCGTCATGCCCTCGTTTATCTTTCCTTTGATTTCCTGCAAAAGTTTTGCATGAATAGATCAGCGGATGACTAAAAAACAACAGCAGAAAATATGCATTAATAATTTCAATTAAATCATATTCAATAAGTGATTAAGTTTACGAAAAGGGTGTCTCTAAAACGGCTGCTGCATGTTCCATGGATTTATCCTTGTCGCTGTAACAGTGTGTGCAAAATGCATATGAAGAGGCATACTTGAACTGGTATAAATGTTAGCTTATGTTTGACACTAGTAGTTTAGTGAAGAACTATTAGCAACAGAGCTGTTTTTGTTTAATCAGCAGACGTGAGCCAGAAGCAGCCCTTTATTAAAACTTTAAAAATGCTATCAATTTTCCTTAATTGGTGAAATTTTTGTTATTACTTATTATCTGGGTATAAACCCAAAGCAGAATGACTTTAACAGTTTTTAATTATTTATGTAGCACGTTTATGTTTTTTACATTTTTATATTTTTATCTACTAATATTAAGCATCGTATGTTTACTTCTAGTATGCATTCCTACTATTAAAGTGTTTAACTGTAGTTTAACCTAGCTCATTTTTTTCGTATTTGATTTCTTTTTTTTTAATGTAAGATGAGCTTTGGAGCCTTTAACTGCCTCATATTCTACCAGGTTGAGTCTATTTTCCATACGTGAATCTTAACGCACCAGCTTAAAGTCTGCGCACTACCCATCAAAAACTTCCCCAGGCCACTTTTAGACTGACTAGCCCTGCACTTTTAATAGTGAAACATTGCATTGTTTTTAAATATTGGGCCGTTAGCATCGCTGTAGATCAAGCAGCAGTCAGCTGGATATCCTGCTGTTGTCTTAGATGGAAAATAAAGAACATGTTTGCCAATTTAAATCCTTTTCTCTTTNTCCTTTTCTCTTTTATTGAAAAGCATAAAAAGTTATAGATAAATAAAAAATCTCACCCTTGTTTGTATGTTTTCCCTCTGCAGGGCAGGAGGAGCAGTGCTGCGACAGGTGAACACATGGAGCATGAAAGGCTGGAGCTGAGGCTCAGCTGACCCCTCTCCCCTTCCATCTCCTCCTCTCCCCCTCTTTCTCTAGTTGATCAGTAGCTCCCCTTTTCCTTCTTATCCCTCCCTGCCTCACCCTGTTGGATCTTATCCGACCTCCCCCTGCAAGCCTCAGTCAGCAGGGCCCAATGTATTCCCCGGAGCAGGAAAACATCTCCACCACCTCGTCCACCAAAGTGCCAGTGAAGTACGGGGAGCTCATTGTGCTGGGGTAGGCAAAAACTAATGAAATCATCTATTATTTGCTCAAAAGTAAAGGATTACAGCTCAGCCTGATGTTGGAGGAACATCAACATGGAGTGAAGTGGAAAAAACAATCAAATTTATGTCTGTTTTGGTAAAAAATCTGCTTATATGGCTAATGTTTCCATATAGTGTTGGACAGAACATCTCTTACAAACAAAGGGTTTGTTTTTTCATGCATCTCTCTATGTTCACTCTTATTTTTGGAGTGAGCATAATTTTTCTGACAGCTTAACCGCTGCTGAACACAATTGGTTTCAGCTCAGTGAAACCAGTGATGGAAGATTGAGCAGTTTAGTCACATAAAAAAGCCAAATGAAGGAGTTTTACAGTAACTTCTACCTTAAGTCACAGTTAATTTCCCTGATTTTTATTTCTAGTTGAAATAATTTGATTATTGATTTTTTTTTCAATCTAAATCTAGATAAGTCATTTTTTCTTAAAATAAGTGCATTTGTTCTTGAATTGAGGAGATAAAACAGACATTTTGCCAATGGAACAAGACAATTTAGATTTAAAATAAGAAAACACAATTGCAATGACTTATTTCAAGTGCATATCATTTAATTATCTTATTTTAAGAGTAAAAATACTCATTCCATTGGCAAACTATCTAATTTACCTATTCAAATCATGGGTCAATACAGTACACTTAATTTAAGTTTTTACCTATTTCTAGATGAAAACTTTTTTTCAGATGTTTTAAATGTATAAAATATTTATATTTCTTAAATCCTGGTCATAGTTTCCTGTCTGTGCTAATGTTTGTAGGTAGCAGCAAATTATTTCTTAATGGTTACGACTTTTAAGTGACATTTTTCTGAGGCTGGAAGCTGTTTTTTTGCTTCTAATCACTGAGGCAAGAGGAAAATAGAAGGTCTCTGATTTGATTTTGAATACCTGCCAGACACTCTTCCTTTGCAAAAAGCTACAATATTTCCTCCATTTTTCCAATATTCATATGACACTTGCCATGGTTTACTCCACATTTATAAATGCATTTATATCAGCTGTTCTCCTCTGATTAGCACCTTTCGGCCAAGTCTAATTCGAATACGAATACCTTCTGACATATTACTGCACCCTACTGGCATATTGTTGGGTTTTTTTGTGCGTATGTGCGGAGTGGGTAAACAAGGAAGCAATGTGGCTTAGAAAGCTAGCTACTTCCAAGCAAAGCTGTGAAATAAAAAAGAGAAGTTCAAGATCCATGCTAAAAAAAGCTGCAAAACAATGATTTAGTACGAACATCGATAATAGCACTGGGAATACAGTCATTATGGGAAGGAGTATCAGGCTTTATTAAACATCTGCCCTCATTATCGGCTTTTCTCTTGTAGTTCCACAGTACTGTCAGATGATGGCGTGCACATCTGTTTATGTATATCCAATCGGACTTGGTGCTGTAATTCTGTATAGACTCAAAAAGGACAAATGATTGGTTTGTATAACCTTACTCTATCAAGAACAAAGATTTTTTTTGTCTTTTTCATGCAGGCATATAATTTTACTTTAGGCCTTCAATGGAAATATTAGAGTAACACCGGTAAACTTGTCACACAAAGTAATTCTTAAAAAAAATGTATAAGATCAGTTTGTATAATAAACTTTATACTTCTTGCCTTTATGATAAAATTATAGTAAAACTATAATAAACAGGTATGTGTGATTTTGATTCTCAGTCCCAACTTTGGGCAAAACTGCCAGAGAAAACAAGTTTCCCAGTTGGCTAATACAGTAATACCTTTCTGCTTTGCACCTTCAATCACCACTTTTATATTTGATGCTTTTCTTTTAAATAAAAAAAAAATAATATCATTATGCGTCACTGAAACTGTGTTGAGTTGGGTAAATTTGCAAAAAAAAAAAAAAATAGTTATGTAATGAGGAAAGCCCTGATAATATCAGTATTTCTTGTAAAACTACCAATTTCCCATCAAACTAATGTCTTAAAGTCATCAGAATGTGATATGCTCCCAGAGGCATCACTCAGTTCTATTACTTATTCCAGAGTTTATCATATTTTTGACAGATTAGGGTTTTATTGAATTAGATTTGCAGTACAAGACCAGTCCCACTCTTCTCTCTGTGTTTTTAGATCACTCATGCTCTCTCGGCTACCAAACTGTTACCAAACAGATGATTTTAGGGTTTACTGTCAGACTGATGGAAAGACAACAGTGCAACTCAAAATCGACTTGATTTGTTACTTCAAAATACGAGTCCCAGTCATAGACAAAGTTCACACCTGCATATTTATTTATGCCAAATGAGTGCAGCTTTTAAGAAGCGCCTGTGGGGAGGTATATTCAACAGCTTTGTACTGCAGCAAACAAGCTAAAATGCATCGTTTTGGACCTTGGGATGAATGTGGAATACCTGGAGAGAACATGACAAATTTTCTTGGTAGGGATTAAAACCCAGAACATCGGACCTCCAAAAGGACTTATTGCTATTAAAACAATTGCATATTTTTTAGATATATTGGTTTATTGATGCTCTTATAGATGCTCTTATTAACAACTTCACTGTTGCATTGGAGATGTTCCCATTGGTTTTGGTTTGCTTTATAAATCAAGATTGTCACTCTGTAGAAGACTATTTCAGATGTATAAGTGTAGCAGGATGAGCTCCTTCATCAGTTGGATGGTTGACCAAGAGATCAAAGCGGAAACTGTTTCCACGTAGGATCACGCTCACATTGGGGACATTTTTTGTCTTGTTGTGCCGTCCTTATCCAAAACGGAGCAGTTATTTTTAACAGAAGGAAATTAACTTCACCCTGGGATGAGATAATTGTTGGCTGACCGCAGCATTGGATATGATTAGAGCAACTATCTTTCATCAGATATTTGTTTTATTATTTTTAAGTCAAGTTGGAAAAGACTCTCTTCTCCACCCTTCTTCTTTTGCACAGAAGACAATAAACAGAAAAGAAACAGTAAAGAAATAACACAGATGTTCCACCGTCCGCCCTGGACAAACCCGCTCCCAGGTGAGCGCTGGTAGCCCTCCTCCTCTGGACACTGTTTCACGTCTTACGCAGGCGGTCTGTGTCACAGCTGACTTAAAGTTTGTTGTTCTGGTTTGTGCTGGAGCAGCATTGTCAGGGAGAGCTGACCGTGGAAATTTTCCCTTGTGGAAAAAACACATTAGGCAGTAAACGCAGTTCCATGCCTTTAAAAGGGAGAACCCCAGTTTTCCGTTTGCTCTGCTTTTTCCGCCCATAGTTTTTCATTCTAGGTCAGGCCAACCTTCTTTTTTTTCATCTTAAAAAAAAAAGATTGAGAGGGGCACTTTTTTTTTTTTGCCCTGCAACAGGAGACGTCATCCTCCTGAGCTGAAAGTAAAGCTGCTCTTTAAAACTTTTAAAGGGTTCAAATTATATGAGTTCAACCCCCTCACCCTGACCTCTATCCTCTGACCTACTGGAGGAAAGTGGCTCCATTACTTAGCTAAAAACTGGTTCCTCCCATCAACCTGTCCTGTCTGCAACACAAACCCTCACTGGGTAATGGAAACTGACATGGAGAACAGCATTTTAAAAGCTGTGCAGTTATTTGTTGCCGTAAACATTTTAGATTAGCTCTGAACTTTCAGTGGAAAGCTAATGTTGACCAGCTGCAGCACAACTGCATGACAGACAGATATAGATACTGATAAATCTCAATGAAAACCTGCTCCTGTCAGACATCAATGTGATAGACCATTATAATCTAAAGATTATTGCATATATTGTTGGAATGTATTTAAATTAAAAATGATTAATAAAATAAATGCAGATTTGCTTAAAGTTTTTATGTTTGGTACGTGTTTAATAGCAGAAAAATGTGAAACCGATGGATGTGGGACGAGAAATGTATGTAGCACGGGTACAATGGTGGTGCAGGAGTTAAGCGTGCGATCCATGTACTGAGGCTTTGGTCCTGTCTCCGCTTGTTCACCTTTGCTGCATGTCTTACCCCTCTCTCTATTCCTGATTTCTTGTCTGCCTACTTAAAAAAAATAAAACAATAAAGGCCACTAGACCCTAAAATATATATATAAAATAGAAGGAGGCTGAGACTGAACCTGGTTCTGCTGGGGTTTTTTTTGTTAACAGAGAGTTTTTTCTCTCCACTTTCACTGCATGCATGTTCAGTGTGAGGGATTGCTGCGGAGTCGACTGTGTGAATTTAACTGATGTTTCATAGTTTGCATTTCTAGTTTTCAGAAAAAGCTGGATGCAAGTTTATTGGAATCAAAAGACAGAATAGATTAGTTTCGGTGACAACATCATAACAAGCAATTTGGTTGTGTTATTTTTGCAGTAAAACAAACATTATAAGGATTTTTTTTTCACCAGACTTCCAGAAAAAGAATATATAATAATCATCTAAAATATGAAACTCTGTGGCAGCTTCTAAGGCGTCGACAAGATGGGAAGAAAATATTTAGAAAGCTTTAGATGGATGTCCTAACAGCCTTTCTATCAAAGCTAAATGACATTTAATATTTAATCTTTTCTCATTATATGCAGAAACAAAGACTTTATCAATATATGTAAGAAGCTGTAATTTAAAAAAGCTGCTGCCTTTAAGCAACACGTTCTTTACTTCTCATAATAATTTTACTTACATGGTTTACCTTTTTTTTCACGCAAAAATCCTGCGATCATACAGTATAATGTAATCCCTGTTTAATTCTATTGCAAAGTATTTATTTTATTTTTGTTAAATTGCTTTAAAATAATTATTTTTAGCTCCATAGGCCTGCCTATTTTACAGCCAATTGAAGACTGTATAGGTGCAAAAAAATAAATGCAAGAAACATGATCCCATCTACGTAATCATATTACAACTCAATGTCAAATCACACACGCCAAAATACTGCAATTAGCTTTTAAAGTTTTCAGATGAGAAGACCTTTAAATTAAATATCTAATGGATTATATAATTTATACCTAACACCATAACACCTTGCATTCAATAACTGAACCTCTCATTGTGTTTAAAATTGCAATAAGAGGAAAGTTTTTCCAAATTCTTTGACGCTTTAGATCATCAAAAGTCACTGAGCAGTTCACTGAGCAGTAACTGAGTTACTAAGATAATTTTTTGTAGAAGTAACTAGTTACTTTTTTAAGTAACTTGCCCATCGCTGATTATGTGTGCATCTGTTACCACACAAAGTACGAAATCTGTACGTAGAATATCTCCTCGGTAACTTCTGCAGCAGTACTAACTATGTTTTGGATAAAGATGGAGCAACAAGACAAAAATGTCTCAAGTGTGAGCCTGATCCTATGTGGAAACAGTATTGCAAACTAACCTTTCGAATGTCTTGATGACACAGCACGATACCTGCATAGAGATATCCTGATGCTTTGGTGTAAGCTGCAGACGGCAAGTAGCCTATGTTGATAAATTGGTTACCATGGGAACTGAACACAGGTCAGAGCGTAAGCATTGCTTACAGATCCAATCCAATCCTGCTGCTTGGTAAATACTGTAAAGGATAGAACTGGACTTTAAGGAATGTCCCCCGCTATCCGAACATGCGTTTTTTTTTTTTTACTAACCATTTGAATAGTAAAAAAATGATCCTCTGGTGTAACTTTCCTCCGTTATCTTTGACTCACTTCAGACCTGATTGACACATGAGTTTATTCAGTTGCATCATTTATTAGCGTGTCAGTACGAAAATACAGTTAATCATGTTGGACTTAATTTATTTTGCAAAGTATGACAGCTTTATGGTGTTTTTTTACACCTGGTTATTAGTCAGCAGACATGTTCATACAAATGTCTTTTTATTGTATTATGCTTTAGCGTTGCAGCCAAGAAATGTTTAATTTTTTTTTTTTTTCCAGAAGATTTACAAATGGAATAAACAATACTAAGTGTGTGCATGGAAAACAGGGCGATTTTTGTCATTTTAAAGGCATTTGAACAGTAAGTGTTCAATCTGTGATCTCAACATGCCTATGCAGACACAGACGAGGTAGACGGCAGTCTGCCCTTTTCTCAGTCTGTGTTCTTTGGGTGATTTTCTCTACAGCAGTTGCTCTTTGTGGCGTAGTGGACTTTAGCTGTTTGTTTGAAGGAAGGACTCCTTCATAACATTACTGGTTATTCTAGGACAAGTTTCCACCTCTCTATGAGGATGAACAGCCTGTAGGTTCCCAATCATGGACTTAGATTAATCTGATGTAAACCTTTGGTTCCTCCATATTGGGGAAAGTTTGCCTACATGTGGGCAAACAGTTCTTTTACCCATGAGAGCCTGTCTTTGAACTGCCTGCAGCCCTCTGAGCTCTGCAGCCGTGCTATCTGGCCTCTCTATGGATACGGACAAAACTTCCCTATGGTTACGCTCTTGCCATGACAACTCTTCCCAAACGTTGCTTTCTCACCATGGTTACACACAAATCCTCTCAGTGTTGTTTGATTCTTAGTGCCTTGTTTCTCTGGGAGGAAACCTGTTAGCCAGCAGGCTTGGCATCCTCACAACATGCCTGAACTACCTTCACTGGACCTGATGAGGGGTGGGGGGGTGGCTTGACCTAAGACACACTCCAGCAATATTGAAGTGCGTTACATGATAACCAGTACTCTTGCGTGACGGAATTTTACCACCTGTGTGCAGGTGGTAAAATTCAACGCCACTGTAACAACATCAGGTATATAACGCAACAAACCTCAGCAGCTACTATTTTATTAGTTTTTAAGATTCAATTTCAAAATGTTTGTTTTGGTTTGTTATCTCAAAATTATTTAAGGGTTCAGCAACACTTCAGCAGAGATTCTATATATACCGTAGATATTTTATTTTACTCCCGCATCTGTAGAAATGTTTGCATGGACATACGTATTAGAGAGGATATCAATCTTCTCCTTTGGTCTGATCATGTTTTTATGGATTTCCTCATTATTATATAGATGTTGAAGTGATGGAAAAATACACTTCTTTTGCATTATTTCTGGTTTTTCTGCTTAGGAATTATAGAGTAGTTGCTAGACTCTGATCACAGTTCCCAGACTGTCATACATAGAATTACACCACTGGTAATAAAGCTACCTTATATTTGTTATGTGAAAAAGACATCTGAAAAAAAATTCTCGCAAGATTGATTAAACTCTATACAGAAACTACTCAAAGGAGCAGTGCAGTTCACTAAAAGGTCAATTCATCTTACTTCTTGGGCAGGAATGTGGAAATTACATTTAACTTATTTGAACTTTAATAAAGCTTGAAAACAGGGGTTACACAACAGCAGCCTCTGCTACATGTGCAAAAGGCTTCCTAAGGTACAATTTATTATCAGTATGTGTTGTTTAAATAAGCTTTACTGTATCTATTTTATACCTATCAGTCATTTTTCAATTTTGAGATAAGGGTTGATGAGAAACGTTTGGCTATTCACCTTGAAGTGCTGACCACAGGGGACCTTAAAGTAGTTTTAATTTTTTTTTTCAAATCCTTTAAGCTCCTTTAAAATCCTTTAAACTGAACACTTTACTAAAAGCCTTCTTCAATAAAACGATACATTGCTAATAAAAAAAAGCTTAAGTGGCTGTATTTTCTTTTTCTTTTTTGTTTTTAGACAGAAATCCTGAAAATAGATCTGCATTCTGTTGTGTTACAGTTTTCTAACCTCTGTCTGTTTTGGTGATATAGGGAATAAATTAGGAATATTATGAGAATAAAGTCTTAATATTACAGGATGAAAACTGTAAAATTATGAAAATACAGTTTTATCTTTATGCAAATAAAGTCGTAACACTGCAAGATTAAAATTGTAGCATTATTAGAACAAAGTTATACATTAGAAGTCATTTGTTGTAACATTAGAGGATTAAAGCTGTAACATTAAGAGAAAAAAAGTCGTAAAATTAGAAAGTCATAACATAAAGAGATTAAAGTCGTAGAATTAGGAAATTAAGGTCGTAACAGTAGGAGATTAAAGTCGTAATATAAGGAGATTAAAGTCGTAACATAAGGAGATTTAAGTCGTAGAATTAGGAAATTAAAGTCGTAACATTAGGAAATTAAAATCGTAACATTAGGAGATTAAAGTCGTAACATTAGGAGATTTAAGTCAAGGAATTAGGAGATTAAAGTCATAACATTAGGAGATTAAAGTCATAACATTAGGAGATTAAAGTCGTAACATTAGGAGAATAAAGTCGTAGAATTAGGAAATTAAAGTCGTAACATTAGGAAATTAAAGTCGTAACATTAGGAGATTAAAGTCGTAACATTAGGAGATTAAAGTCGTAACATTAGGAGATTAAAGTCGTAACATAAGGAGATTTAATTGTAACATTAGGAGATTAAAGTCGTAACATTATGCAAATAAATTTGTACATCAGGAGACATTATTTGTAACATTAGTTGACTAAAGTGGTAACATTAAGAGAAAAAAGTAACGTTAGAGGATTAAAGTTGTAACATTGCAAGAATAAAGTCTTTACATTATGGGAAAGACATTGGCAACAATACCAGAATAAAGTCTTAATTGTGGGGATTTAAGTTGTAGCATTATGAGAATGAAGTCGTAACATCACTGGATTTAAGTCATAACATTTTAAAATAAAAGAAGTGGCCTATTTTTATGTAAAATCTTACAAGTAAATCTAGTCTTCCCCCTGAGTTAAAATGCTTAATCAAAGCATCTTAGTAAAATGACTTATTTTTGTTTCATATTATTACAACTTTATTCTCATATATTATAACTGTTTTTATAGAATTACATCTTCATTCTTCTATTGTTGCAACTTTATTCTTTTAATTTGAAAAATATGCATACAAATGTATTAGTATGGCCCAAAAACTTTGCAGCACTTAAGAAAACTTAAAATGAAACCTGAGCAAAATAAAAAAGGCATGCAAGGAATAAAAACATATTTCCGTTTTTAAAGTAGAACCTGCAGATATAAAACGAGAGAAAAAAGGAAACAAAGACAACAAAAAAACAGGACACGTGGCAGAGTTTAGGCTATATACTAGATAATAATTTAGGTAAAGTTTATTCTTGTACTTTAAACAGCCTCTAGAATCTTAAATACATAAATAATCAGCTATGATTATAACAAAGCCAAAAAGAAAAGAGAAACTGCCCGTGAACAACCCATTGCACGCATTATGATTTATGATTGTTGGTGAGCTGTTTAATAAACACAAACAATAGATAGAAATGTATGTGCGGGGATTTTAAGATAAATATCTGCATTAACTCACTGTATTTAAAAATATAAAAAGCTTTCTTTAAGTAAAATGTCCTGATGGGTTTCAAAATTCTGCTGCTTACAGGAATGCAACTTCACACTGGTCAAATGTAAAGTTTAACCCCTCCTTGAAATGCAATACCACAAAAAAAGGCCTGGAGCTAGGTGGATGTTGGGTTGGTGGTGATAAAGGGTAACTTCTGAAGGTTTTTGTCCTGAAGTTAAGCCGAAGGAAGGGGAAACTGCTCTGGTTCTCCTTTCTTCAGACAAATACAGGTCTAAATTAGTCTCTCTCTTTGTTTACATTCTCAGCCATCCTGCTCTGATGTTTGGAGGACTTTGTTGTTTGTAATGCCATGCTGTGCTTTTGTGAAAATGCATGCATGAAAACTTTAAGCAGCAGTTTGTGGATACGTCTGGGAGAGCACGAAAAAGCCTTGAGCATTTTCCACTGTGCCTGTTGTTCCAGGGCATTATCCAGCTGCTGAGACAATGAATGCTCTGTTGTTTTGTGTGTTTACGTTTATCTGTGTGTGTGTGTTTGCGTGCAGGTACAATGGCTCTCTGCCCAATGGAGACCGAGGCCGACGCAAAAGCCGCTTCGCACTTTATAAGAGGCCGAAGGCAAACGGGGTGAAGCCCAGCACAGTTCATGTCGCCTGCTCCCCACAAGCAGCCAAGGTAAAACAAAACAATCTCAGACTGAATCTTTAAAGTGATTAGACCGCTGAGACTTTCAAAAACTGACAGAATTTTGCTTTTTATTAGCCTCAGGCCGTTTTTCTCCTTTAGTTTTAAAAAACATGATATCATTCAAGCCAAACAGTTGCATATTCCTGGCTATATTAAGATTTAAGTGATTTTCAAATAACCACATTTTTTGTTCTTAAAGGGAATAATGCATTTTTTTTTATTATCTAAAGAGATAAAAAAAAAAAACATTTTGGAAGATTATTTTTGATTTTTCTTATAAATGATGAGCAAATTCATCATGTTTCCATCTTACCTGATAAACAACTCTTTGAGGGTGAAAGACCTCCAGACCATTACCCTAATCAGATTGTCTATCAGATGGAAGACCAAACTGGCTATGAGGCAAGTAATCGCTAAAGCAGCTTCTCTTTGTGTATTTTTAAGAGAATATAGACCTTTTTAAAAACCTCAGCAGCACATAGTATCAGTATCCTGTTATGCTACGTTCACACCGCCCGTGTTTTGGGCAGCTAAAAAGCGGCAGCTGCTTCATTTTTGATGCTTGTACTGTACACAATAAGGTCAAGATCATCTTTGATGCTCCTGAAGCGCATCCAGTAAAGTTCGTCCAGATGCATCTGATGTTTCTGCTGTTCCTGTGTTCAATGGCAGAGAGCCGCTTTGCTATAATTGCTATGATAATCTGGTAAAAAGTAGTTTTAACATATTTTCAAGCAAGAAAGTCCACCTCAAAGCATTATCTTTGCAGTTCATCGAGATTACGATCCTGTCTTAAAATATTATTTAGCTGTTGAAGCCACCACATACCAGTGGTGTGCTGTCACTGGAAATCCCCAGCAGCAGCTGGGGGGTTTCCCCTACTGTTTGTCGCAGCTGGAAGTAGATTTTAGTGTTTTTATGTATGTGGCAAAAACTGCAGGAACCAGAATAATGAAAGCGAACATATTTTGCTGGCAGGTTTTGACATTTTAAGTTATTTAGGCATTAATAAACTGTTTCAGGGGAGTGATCATAGCGATCTGCATTAGCAGTGCTGGGTCTGTCTCCATGCAAGCCTCAGATCAGCTTCTCTGATTGGTTGATGTGGCGTGTCGAGCAGCATACATTTTTCCAACTCCAGCAGCTGCTGCTTGTGAAGCGCATCACACACCTCAGATGCTCAGAAGCTCATGAGGCGCTGCTTCAGCTGTTTAGATGCATCAAGATGCACTGCTTCTGTTGCTCTAGACGCGCTGCAGGGCCTTTTGATGCACCTTGATATGCGTCAACCATTGACTTTTTATGTGAAGCGGCTGCTTCTGCTGCTTCAGTTGCATGCGGTGTGAAAGTAGCATTATCCTTTGATAACAGGGAGACTAAAAAGACTAAATCAGCCTCCACTGATCTTTCCTTAAATACATTGAAATTTGCTGACACTCACTTAACTTCAATCTAAGAGTGTTTCTGTTTGGTAGCTCTGCTTTATGATCGTTTAAATGATCAAAATCAGATTTTATTCCTGTTGAATCAGTAATGAGTGAATCTTAAAACGGACACCAGCTGATTTTTACAGGGCATCATTGTTCATAATTTGGTCCCAGGTAAGTTTTTCAAGGATCTTCACTTGTATTCCTCCTGTTCCTTCCTTCTATCGTGGTTTAACACTAACAAACTTGTCTGAGGTTTAATAGGCTTTGTGAATTACTTGCAAAGTTTTTCCTGTGTCTTTATCTGCTCATTGTTTGTTTCCTGTCCATACATC